CAATAGTACTAATTTGACTTCAATTGTACTAAGTTGACTTCAATTGTACTAATTCGACTTCAATTGTACTAATTCGAAGTCAATTGTACTAATTTGACTTCAATTGTACTAATTCGACTTCAATTGTACTAAGTTGACTTCAATTGTACTAATTCGACTTCAATTGTGCTAATTTGACTTCAATTGTACTAATTCGACTTCAATTGTACTAACATATGTTATAACATATGTTACATATAGTATGATATGATATATGTTATATACCACATATGTTATAATATATGTTATATACTACATAATATAATAAGTTATAATATACGATATAACATATAGTAGGTAATATAATATAACATATAGTATAAATTACAATTTATTTTAATCTATTGTATAATTTTATGTATATGTATATAATTTGTAAAAAACAATCGGAAAGTGTCTGCCGGCACAATGGTTCGAGGTGCGAGAGAAACCGGACTCACCCATAGACTCGGGTTCGAGTCCCCAATCTGGGAGCCTCAACCATTTTTTTTTTATAGAAAACGGATTCTCAGAATCCGTTTTATAATGAATTATTTGTAAAACGTATTCTCAAAATACGTTTTACATAAAACGTATTCTGAGAATACGTTTTCATCTAAATTATTTACAGAACGTATTCTACAAATACGTTTTAAACTGGGAAAAAAAATAAAAAATTTGGTGATGATCACACGACTCGAACGCACCTGTTTTAAATATTCAAAACACCCAACTAAACCAAAATTACACGAACAAATCAACCAATCTACCTTAAATATCATCAAACCAAGTCCAAATAAATCATACAAACAAAACAAAATAAATAATCCAACCAAATCCAAATAAATAATCCAAACAAATCCAAATAAACAATAAAAAATCTAATCTCCCCATACATCACGAAGTTTAGACCTATCGCTGCGAGGATGTGAGGACGGACACTCGTCCACAACATGCTCTGGATCACCGCATCTAGTACAATGCCCCCTCTCATTTCTGCGTCGTGCCTGACGATACATTTGCTTGCGGTAGCGTCTCGTTTGCTTGCGACCGGGTCCAGGCTTCAAGATGATCCCCTCCCAGTGTGGAATCAAATTCCATCCCACCGGCGGCCATGTATCCGGATTACCAATCGGAGTAAAACTCTAATTAGTAAATTGAGCGACCCAGGTCGACGTCCAGAAGTGATCATCGTACATCAGCTTTGGGTCACCCGCAATTCTACGACAGACAGCTATCGCATGAGAACACGGTTTTCTATGCGTCTGCCACTTCTGACAAGTACAACGTTTTGCGGGGTAATCAACCTTATACCTGTATTTCCACATTTATTTATATATATACA